GATCAAGAGTCCCAGAATGCCGAAAACAGCATTGATGAATCGGATGAGCCTATAGAGAAACCTTCAGGGGAGCCTACTCACTACTCGAAGCTAGATGTCAGTTCTTTAAAGGTACTTAGTGTTTATGGTTTTTATCAGTTTAGGTTTCTGATTTAAGAAACGAATTAGCTCTACGAAATATTGACTCAAAGGGTCTCAAAGCCCAATTACAATCTCGCCTGCAGACTGCCTTAGACGATGAAAAAGCGAAAGAGAATGCCGGCGGGGATAAAACTGATGATGATACTAGGGGTAAGTATTTGTCCGCATTTTTCTTCGTTATTACAATATGGGGGAGTATTCCTGGTTTATTATCGAAGGATTGGGGATTCTGTCATCACTCACTAGGATGCTAGACTTCCTGCTGATCCATCCCTCGCCCCGATTAATCACAAAACTCGTTCTTTCTGCTTATGTTCAGCCGAACAGACGCCGACTAAGACTGCTACTCCCGCAGCTGGTTCCACTCATCAGGAAAAGGAGAAGGACGACTCGAAGCAATTGTCCGAGAAAGATCGTCGCCGTTTGGAACGTCTTTATCGATTGGGCGATAGGCCGTCTATCCTTGTCCATCCCAACAAGGCAGCTCGTGGTGGTCGCTTCGACTGCCACCGCGTCTCACTTCACACGCTGCTTGATTATCGCACGGATGAGATGAAGGAGCCGAATTTCGAAGTTGCACTATTCGCCGAGCAGTTCCATGAAATGATGCAACGCGACTGCGCCTTCAATATCTTCAAAGCTATCTACAATGCCCCTGAAAAGGAGCATAAGACGGAGCAAAATGGAAAGTACGCGTCGTTTTGGTGGTATCGTAGTCTACCAAGTGCTCTAGCAGCATTATTGTCCTCATTATGTTTGTGGGATTATTTCGTCGATAGGTTATTTACGGGTGGTTTGTCGCGTTTAAGCTCCGAGGTTCACCCTTTTAGGTTGGCTTTTACAATGAACTATCTTCTTAACCC